AGGCAAAAGTCATTTAATGTTAGTCTTCCAGGTTCTGCTCTTTAAAATTTAGATTCACCAAATATTTGGGTTATCACAGATAGACATACAAAGTCTCTGAAAACAATATAATTAACTTGTGCCCTGGTCACTTAAGCCAATGACGTGAAATTGATTGTTTCAAAAATCCTCTATTATCAGAATTTCTGCCTTAGAACACTGTCTGGAAAAGGTCCCTCAGTGACTTAGCTATTATTTTTACTATTTTCTGAAAAATACAGCAGAACTCTGAAAGCTAGATGTTGGCTTTTTGTCAACTTTTAAAAATTCCATTTACAAAACTATGGTAAAGGAAAATATTTTAGCAGCATGTGACACAGTATGCTTTGCTACACATGACGTTTTATGTGAAGATGCAAAGTTCCATGCCTATCTTACTAAGTAACAAAAGGACCTAGGTCAATTATATATTGCCTTGATTAGTTAAATTTTAGATAACCAACTACAAATTTGTTTTAATATTCTCTAGCTTATTTTTGACATCTTACATGGTGAAATATGTTCAAAATAAATAAGTAGGTAGACTTTCTTTTAGGATTTATTTTTTATGTTGGAAAATTAGTAAAAAAAAAAAATCTCTAAATTAAATATTTTTCAGATAGTAAAAGGTCATTTGCTGCCTAACTGGATTTTCTCAAATACATATATGTATATATATATGTTTAACATATATATGTATACAGAATTTTAAACAAATTTACTATAGAACATTTGAACCTATTTCCTACTGAAGTATTCTAGATTATGAGAAATGCTGTAGATAATGTTCAAGAACATCATTTAGAATGAAATACAATGGACATTCTCTCATATGAGTGTTCGTATTCTAAGTGTCAGAATGTTATATTACTAATGGAATGTCTAACTTAAGTTTAACTTTTAATATTAAAGAAAGAAATCACAAACTTGAAATTTATCAAGACGTTAATCTTCTGATGGATAATAAAGGCTATTAGTAGAATAGGTCATAAATTTTATTTTCTCTAAACTATAAAGACAAAGGAGACATTAGTGACAATTTGCTTAAATTAACCTGGTCTTGCTTGCTTTGTTTTGTTCAAGCGAAGCATACCATTTTAGTGTAAAATATTTGGGTTAACTCAGTTACTTTTTAAAATTGAGCAATGCTCAACTGCCACTAAAATCAAAAATGTTTTTTGGTATGCCACTATAATCAGAAGTAATCACAGTAAAATACCATGCTTAGACACACAATTTCCTTGCAAATTTGACAGGAACTTTAAAACTAAGATGAGAGAAGAAACTTTCATGAATAAAGTGCTTCAGATATCTCGCTGATAGAGCATATTTCAAAAAAGTGGAACAGGAAAGCTTGTTGTGCTTAACCTTGACGGGTCAAGGACATCATGGAGCCAGACTGCTTGGATTCAAGTCCCAGCTCCATCACAGGCTTGCATCAGAGCTTTGGGAAGTTGTTTAACATTTCTGTAGTTCAATTTTCTTATCAGTGAAATATAGATAAATAATAGAAATATCTGCCCTATAAGCTCATTGTGGGATTAAATGACAATAAACAGTGGTTAGAATGGTGTCTGACTAGAAGATAAAGTTTTGTAAATTGTTATATACTTAATCTTCCCATACATCATTTCCTAGATATGATGAAAACTCAAGTAAATTTCTTTTATTTTCAGCAAATAGAACTAAATATGACTCACTCAGATAACCTTATTGAAATTTCATAATGGCTCTTACCATTATTTCCATAAGATTCTGCTACTAATGATGAAATTCTTACTGAAATTGAGGAACTAGGAGAACACAAGAGGAGAAATAGGCTATTACATATACTTAGGACCCTTTAGGCAATGAAAATTAATTAATAGTAATTCTTATTAACTATAAAAACTGAAAATAATTTTTTGGCTTTGAATGTAACAATACTAAAACAAATGGTAAAATTTATTAAAGGACATGTGTACTATACTGATAAATATAGTTTTAAAGTGGACTTTTATACATATTTATACATGCTTAACTTTATTTCATATTTTATCTTTCTACTCTCTTAGTCTAGAACTCTGAATTAAAAGCCTGAATTAAAGTCAAATTTTAATAATATCAAATAACATAAAACCAACAAAAATTAATGCCCTATGTAAATGAATATTACTGATATGGTTGCTAAATTGAAATACAAGTATAATAATAAAATTTTGCAATTATATTGTTTTTTCATTGTCTCATGTGTTTTACAAATTACTTATGTGTCTACATGGGTGTCACATTATGTCTCACTACAAGGGGTTTTTCCTTTAGCAAAACAACAGCTCTGCAACAGGACAGTGACCTCAGACACAGTTAAATGTAGCCAATTAAAGTTCTTTCCTTCTTTTGAAGGAAATAAAATACCACTATGAAAATAATATTAGACAAAAAAGAAAATAATATTACACACACAGAGACACACACACACACACATGCTATTTCAAAAGTTTCCTGGTTTATGTAACTAATAAAGTTAAGAAGCTGCACTTTTCAAAATCTTTTAAGTGGGACCGCTGATCAGAGATAATTTGTTGTTTGTCATTACATTGGTTCAATCAATTTAGTTTGGAGGGACTTCTCTAATAGTTACTGATGGTCTGCTCTAACAGTTTCTGTGAATTTTTCAGGTACTGCAGGGACTTGAGTTCACCAGCAATTCTCTGCTGTCCTTAGTGTGGGCTGTCAAGAGCCAATGTCAGATTATACAGGTGACTGTAATTAAGTTGTCAATGTGCATCTGTAACTCTGGCATTTTCCTAACCTCTCAACATATACGTGATGCCATAATCTGGTTTAAAATTCATTGTTTTCATACTGAATCCTTAGTGTACTGCTATGTCTTCTGAAGTGTAATCATATCCCTGACTTCAAAAAGTTTACCACTTTTCAGGGGGAAAAAAGCAAAATATTTTTCCTTTGATTCCTCTTTTACCTTATATTTCTAGCCCTGTAATCTACTCAAATCTACTTAGATAGACTATTTTATTTTATTGTACCCAGCATTCCAATTATTATTAAAGCCCCCCAAATAATGCTATGAATAAACCAGCATTCTCATACCCTGCAGATGGAATATAGTAAATATTCTATGGAAAGTTTTTAGAAATCTTTATCAACATTATAAAATTATAAATGCCGTTCTCTTGGACCCAGCAATTTCATGTCTAAATAAATTTATATATACATACCCACACACACAAACACACACATATATATACACATACATACACACATATGTATATGTAGTTTCTCATGTGAAAAATGTATAAAATTGTTCACTGTATTATTTTCTTGTAAAAATACGGAAAAGATTAAGAATTTTAAAGTAAATTACCGTATAAGTGTGTGTAAATGGATATTCGTTTAAATATGTATAGTTCTACAAAGGATACACAAGAAACTATTACATCATTTGCCTACTGGGATGTGAATTGGGTATTAAATAGGCAGGAATGGAGGTTTTCTAAACCTTTTGAAATTCAAATTATAGGAACTGTTTGCCCTAATAACAATAGGGGGGGATGTCTTGAAAAATAAATCCTTAACCTTCCTCTTAGAGTCACTACTAATTTTCTCAGTCAATTAATAGTTGTTTAGCCCTTAACAGATACAGTGGCAAATCAAACACTAATACATTTGCTCAAAAGGCAGCACTAAGGCCCAAAATTTATATGCATCACATCTTTATTAAGATTCAATGTATGTAAAACTGAAGACATTGATTATACGTCTATGTAGCTCCTCATCATGATTTTTATATTTGTACTACTATTTTGGAACTAAATAAACAATACAATTTGACAATTAAATAAAATTTAAATAACACCTAGTTATAAAAACATTTTAAAAATTGAGGCCAGTTTTATTTTCTTGGAGCCAGCAAAGAGAACACAAAATAAAAGACTGGGCTTCTTTTGGCTGTGAGTAGAACATTGTTTTATAAATTAGTTCATTTTCTCCAAATCATTATTTTAAGTTTTTAATATTTTGGATTATGGTTCTGGCTAGAACTTGTATTTTAAACCAATTTTAGGAACCAGTGGAAGTCACTGAATGACATTTTAAGAACAGGAATCCAACTTACAAAAAAAAGAGTATTAAAATTCTACAATTGGAAAATTTTAAATAATTTAAATTAGGTAGGAAACTATATCAATGATTACTGACCCCACACACACATTGAAATTGCTCTGATCTGAATGTGTCTCCCCAAAATCTGCATGCTGAAATCTAGTTACCAATGTGATGACATTGGAGATGGGGCCTGTGGGAACTGAATTGGTCATAAGAGCACAGCACTCCTCAATGAGATTAGTGCCCTTGTAAGAGAGGATCCAGATTGCTGCCTGGCTCCTTTCACCATGTAAGGATACAGCTAGGAGACTTCATCTATCAACCACGGGACAGGCCCTTACTAGACACCAAATCTGCCAGTGCCATGGTTTTGGACTTCCCAGCCTCTGCAACTGTCAGAAATAATTTTTCCTTGTTTACAAGCTACCTAATTTATGGTATTCTGCTATAGCCAACCAAGAGAACTAAGAAATTATTGTCTCCCCGCAGTAAAATAATTACAGAAGGCATTACAGTGCTCCTCTCCTCCATAGAGATTAAAACATACTGCATTTTATGACCCTTAATAAGTGTGGATGTATCTTTTGACAGATACTGTATCTTAATTTTTCATATATTCTGTCCCTTGCTATTCGTAAAAATTCCTCCCTAAAATTTCAGTTAATATATGCATATGATTTAGTATTGTTTCAGTCTTTTTTATATACCCAAAGTCACTTACTGTAGAAAACAAGTGGTACAGTTCATTTGTAGCTATGAAAAATGCACCTCTAACAATGCCAATTTAAAGTACTTGACAAATTTGATTTATTAAAATTGCAACCAAAACAATCAGCTGGCCACTTTTTAAAAATATGTAATAGTTAAATATAACTCACCTCCTTTAGTAAGCAAAAGATATTGGTGCTGCTGGAAGGGGGCAAAATAGCTGGATATCCTATATGCATGAGGAAGAACAAACATAATTAAGCTTAGATTGTGGATGATTTTTGTTGTATAACTTAGCTACTGGTAGACAGACAGCAATTTTAAAAAATTTCTCCATTTTATAACTTTCTATGGGCCTTGTGATTTTGGAAATTTAATGAAAAAAACAGGGAAAGTGATGACATTTGTTATATATATATAAATATATATATCAATGTGTGTGTGTGTGTGTGTATATATATATATATATAAAAAATGTACCAGTCACTGGGCCCAAAAGTTATGTATTGCCATATATGTTTTATTACTTAATTTTAGGAAGTAAGTGATCTCATTCTTTTATTCATTCAGTCAACAACTATTTCAGAATACCTGCTCCTATGTATGAAGAGTGTAGAGGTAAGCAAAACAAATGAACAGGGAAATCCATGTCTTCACACAGCTTACAATCTGGTAGTAAAATAATGCTGGCAAATATCATCAATAAAGCAATGAATCGTATATATAGTCAGGTAAACAAATTTTATCAGGTAAACAAATCTATGAAAAATGTATCAGGGTAAGGATATAAGTAAGTCTAACTAAGGGTGTCAGTTTTTAATAACGTGGTCAGAGTTGACCTCACTAGAAGAACCATTTAAAGCAGCAGGAGAGGAAGCCTTGCAGCTATCTGGGGGAAGAGAGTTTCAGTCAGAGAGATGGAAAGCCAAGCTCTATCGACCTAATGGACAGCATGCTGGCTATAGTTAATAACAATGTACTCTATAGTTGAAATTTGTTAAGAAGCTAGATAGACCTCATGTGTTTTCACCACAAATTTAAAAAAGGATAGCGATGTAAAAATAAATGTCAGGACAAAAATGAAGAAACAACAAAGGAGTAATGAGAAAATGAAAAAACAATGAGGTGGGAAGAAATCAACATAGTGTCCACAAAGGTAAAGGAAGAAGATTGTTCAAAGACGAAGAATGATTAGCAGATACAAGTGGTCGTGAAATGCTAAGCATAAAGTGGATTAAGAATTGACAAAATAACTTCACAATATGGATGTCATTCATGACCTTGACAAAAGCAGTATCATTCATCAAAAAAAAAAAAAAAAATTAAAGTAAGGCCAGGAGCAGTGGCTCACATCTATAATCCCAGTGTTTTGGGAGGCAGAGGTGGGAGGGTCACTTGTAGCCAGGAGTTTGAGGCCCACCTGGACATCATAGCAAGTCTCTACAAAAAAACATAAAAATTAAAAATTAGGCTAGTGTCTGTGGCTCATGCTTGTAAGTCCAGCACTTCGGAAGACCATGGTAAGAGGAAAGACCATGGTAAGAGGATCACTTGAGTGCAGGAGATCGAGACCAGCTTGGGCAACATAATAAGACCCCACCTCTACAAAACATTTTAAAAATTAGCTGAGTGTGGTGGTGGCTGACTGCAGTCCCAGCTACTCAGGAGACTGGGGTGGGAGGATTGCTTGCCTGTACCAAGCAGGTCTTGCTCTGTCACCAAGGTGGGAATGTAGTGGTGCAATCAGGGCTCACTGCAGCATCAACCCCAATGCCTGAGTGAGCCCTGATCACACCAGTACATTCCTGTGTGGATGACAGAGAAAGATCTATCTCTAAAAAATAAAAAAATTAAAACATGAGAAAAATAGAAAATAAAAAAGGAAAAATTATCTGGGTGAAGTGATGCATGCCTGTGGTCCCAGGTACTTGGAAGTCTAACGCAGGAGACTGGCTTGAGCCCTGGGGTCAGAGGCTGCAGTGAGCTATGATTGTGCCACTGCACTCCAGCCTGGTCGGCAGAACAAGATCCTGTTTCTGGGGGAAAAAAATAGAAGTAAAAATCTGACTGAGGTAGATTTCAGAAATGGAGATGGTGTAGGTCAAAGGGAATGGGTAACAGAAAATTCTTTCAAGGTGTTGCTCTGGCAGTGGAATAAGGAAACAATGTAGTAGTTAGTGAGATAACTGGAACATGAGAAAGTTTTCTAAGATGGAAGGAATTACAGCCTATATTTATGCTAGTGGAATTATCTAGTAGAGAGAAAAAACAGATGATGCAATACAGAGAAAAGTGTTGCTGTCTCTATGTAGGCCAGAAGTGATAGGATCTAATGCAGAGTTGCATGTGTCTGTCTGTGTGGGTTAGGGATCAGCCTTAAGGATGAGGACAGACCATCTGTAGCAGCAGGAGAGAATGCAAAGTATATATTGTTAGGAAGAGTTAATATGGGGGATATATTTGCATTCTCAGTGAAATACTTAAGGTCATTAACTGAGACTGAGAATAGGAGAAGAGGGTTATAAATAATGTCCTAGGACAATGAGAAAGTACATGAAATAGAGTATAACTGCTGCTCTGTACTCAGACACAACATGAGGTTCATTTATAAGAATTTAAATTAAGACTTGTCATCAGTCCTGTGATTTTTTTTTTCCTCCAGCCACTGTCAGCAAGTATAGCCTAGATAGATAATTAGGTTAAGTCTAAGTCATGGCTTTGCCACACAAACAAGCTGAGGGGCATTGAGGAAAAATAAAGGGATGGGGAGCGGGTAATTATAAACCCTGACCAGAGAATTTAACCATGATAAGAAGGAAAAGAATGTATAAGTGGGAATGAAGGACAGTGAAATACTGGTAAAATCAGTGAAGTTTAATCCTAGGCAGGTAAAAGATTTGTTGGAATATTTAAACTTGCCACACTTCTCTCTTGATGTAGCAAAGACAAAGAAGAGGCAAATTCAATGAAAAACAGATTGTAATAAATACAAGTTTAATTTATCACATACTATCTTGAGTTTTCTGATATTAACTCATCAGTAGACAATCATCCCAGTAGGATCTTACTACTTCTTCAAGGGTCATTGGGAGGAAGGTGGGGATGGATAATGGATAAAAAAAATAGTTTGAAGAATAAATAAGACCTATTTGATAGCACAACAGAGGTGACTATCATCAATAACAATTTAATTGTACATTTTAGAATGACAAAAAGAATATAACTGGATTGTTTGTAACACAAAGGATAAATGTTTGAGAATGGATACCCCATTCTCCATCATATGATTATTACACACTGTATGCCTGTATTAAAACATCTCATGTACACCATAAGTATATGTAAAAATACGTCTACTATGTAAACATACACCTGTGTCCCCACGAAAAATAAAAATTAAAGAAATATATATAAACACTTGGAAACTAAAAAAAAAGTCACACTTTTCCTTGTCACAGGCAAAATATTCACAAATTACTTCATGGGTATCATTTTCTTGCTCATATATTTTTTCTTTACTTTTTTATAATCAGAAGGACTTCAATGGTTCGAGCTCCTTCACCCCAATACTATGTTTCCATTGAATTCAAACAGGCCACAGAAAGGACAATATTATAAGTTGCTGAGGAACTTTCCCGTTCTTCCCAACATCACCATCAATTTTTCCTGCTCAAAATCATAAAACCTGTTATTCTTTTTTAAACTAGTTCAGTTGAATATTCTCATAAGATTATAATTTTATAGTTAAGTATATAGAAACTGATGTACAGAAAGTTTTTTTTTTTTTTTAACAACTAAACTGCTGATTTGAGATTCAAAGCTAAGTCTGGAAATTGTTTCCACTACACTCTAGCGAAAATAAGCAATCATAGTTTCTTAGGATATTTTATATTTCATATTGTTTAAAAAGGAATACAAACTAAATTGTTTTCATTTGTGGCTTAAAATTAAAATGGAAAAATTTTGACCTACTTCTATTTATATCCATTTAGGATGTTTTTTTATTTGCTTTGATTTTGATAAGCCCTGAATGTTTCCAGGAGTTTTCAAAGTGAACCTGATGTCCTGACAATGATTAATCTTGGGATTGGAAAATTCTCATTACCAGCCAGCTCATTCTGTTACCTAGATATTTCAGTCTGAAAAAAAAAGTAGGCCAGTTGTTCTTTTCTGTATCTTAACCTTTCTTTACTTTTTTCCCTCTGTGTTAGTGTGTGTGTTCATGAGAGTGTGTGCATCCTCACACTATCATGTGTGTTTGTCTCAGTATTTGAATCAAAAAACAACGAAACCAGGAAAATGTTTAGAAACTACAGCCTGCCAGTAGGCCTAGCAGAATTGAAGCAATGTGTTAAAGGATGTCAGCTGTAGTCACAGTTTGGTGATAGTTATGTCCAGTCCAGTTCATATGATTAATTCTATTCTCTTGCCATGCCTACTAAACACTTTAGAGAAGCAAAACATCATTTTTTTCTTCAAGAATAAAATGTAATCTCAAGTACATTGTATTCTAATGAGTTAAATTGTAAATTTAATATTTTGCAAAGCATTACAATAGAATAATGGCTATTTTAAAACTTCAGAGATATATACTAATAAAAGAAAATACATCTAATGTATTAAAATGGTTGCTTTTGATGTAAGGTAAGTAGGAGTAAGGAATGGGATGCTGTGAGATGATTATTTGTATGTATATATGTACTTATATGCATATAAATGAAGATGAAAATAAAAGCTTGACTAGGACCAGGAATAATGGTGAATTCTGAAAAGAAGCATATAAGTAAATAAAATTTCAGCATATAAGACAAAAATAAAACCTTATGATAGTATTAATTTGTGGTATAATTGTATTAATGATAATTGTCAAACTATAAGAAATTGTTGTATTTCTAGGTTTAAAAAGTAACATATTGGCAACTCCATGTTGTTTAAACTTATTCTAATATGATTAACTTATATTTACCTGTGACATCACTCGTAGGGCATTTCATGCCATCTTTACAAAAACATTGTTATATATTCAGGAATTATCATGATACAGATAATTAAATTATCACTTAGATAATTTAATTAAGTTTCTCAAGGTTAGAGAGGTATTACACATCAAAGCTAGATTTCTGGGGTCTTAAACTAATCTGCTTTCTAGTATAAACCATATAAAAGGTGGTCATGGGCTTTTAGTATCGTCCTGGTTCTGCTGGTAATAAGGAAAATTCTTTAGATTATAATATCTTTACAAAATGAAAAAGTTGGATATATAATCTGGTTTATGACTCATCAAATATGTCAAAGATTTCTAATTTTATTTTTGTCTTTTTAATAAAGGCCTCATGATTATTATTATTGCATTTACACTGAAGTATGAATATAGTTCCTCACTCATTACATTACTATTAAACAGACTGGGTCTCTGAGATCTTGGCTAAACCTTAATCTCTCATACTGTTCAATATAACTATTTTAGTAAAGATTTGCTTATGATGAAAAAGTCAGGGGACCACCCAACAGTAACCTCTGATGTTACTACCATTTCCTTTATTGAATGATCTTGGTCATTAACCTATAGCGGTGGCATTCACACATGTATTGGTAGTAAAGCCTTGATTTCTTTCCAATAACATTTTATGCAGAATCTAATGTAAAACAGACTTGCATGAGGATGAGGTCTTATTGCAGTAGCTGCAAATGAACCTGAAAAATTGCTCTTGTTTAACTCCGTATAAAATTTCCAGAAATCCTGAGGCTCCAGAAAATGTCAATCAAAAAACATTGTTCAATATTTGTATATTCTATTGTCATCTATGTGTAAGAACACTAACTGAATTCTCCATTGTATTTTCCTTCTGTGTACATGGAAGAGTTTTTTCTTAAGTTTTAGAATGCAACATTAAGTTAACCAGATAACAGAAAATGGGGATTATTTCCAAACTAGTTCTATGTTTCTTCACCTATAATGAACAAGTTTTTAAATCATAAGATCCTTACACATGAATATTTTTATTCTGAGTTGAATAAAATTAGACAAATGTCAAACAAATATTTACCGCATCTGACAGTCCTTTAGTATATTTGATTCTCTAAAAATGTATCATAAAATATCTGCTTCAAACAAAGTATCTGTTGATTTCACTGACGTTTCATATATAGACATCAAAGAGTTTGAAATTCTTGGCCGGTTGCAGTGACGCACGCCTGTGATCCCAGCACTTTGAGAGGCCGAGGTGGGTGGATCACCTGAGGTCAGGAGTTTGAAACAAGCCTGACCAACATGAAGAAACTCCATCTCTACTAAACATACAGAAAATTAGCTAGGTGTAGTGGCACATGCCTGTAATCCCAGATACTCGGGAGGCTAAGGTAGGAGACTCGCTTGAACCCAGGAGGCGGAGGTTGCCG